GGAAGGCGGTATACATTATATATCTGGATTTTAAGAAAGTATTTGATAAAGTTCTTCTTCGAAGACAGTCTTATTAATTAAAAGAGAAGAAATAGCCTAAGATATTCTATTATTTTGAGATGTATTTCATTACCTCAATATACGTACTTGAGCTTATCGAATTAAATCCCACTGTATATGCACTAAGCTGATTGCAAAAATTATTATTTAGATGAAACATTGTATAGCTCTGAATGGAAATTTGTCTGGTAAGATACATAAAAAGTGAGGTGCCTCAGGGAATGGTCTTTGGACCAGTTTTGTTCTTGATTTTCATAACACTGATTTGACTGTTCTGTGTCACAGGAATTCTCATTATCTGCCGATGAAGACCTGACCAAATGTAAACTGTGTCAACAAAATTATTCGCACACCCTCCGACACTATGTGATGGAGTGCGAAAAGATACGTGAATTTAGAGACAATTCTATAACCAATGTTCCAGCGATGTGTAAATATTTCATTCAAAATGATCTGCTACCAGAAATTTTAGCCAAATATCCCCAGTTTGCTAACTGTAGGTAGTAACTAAGTGATTGTAACCTATCCACCGCTGCCCACTCAATGGGGGACGGTGTGCAGGACAAACATATCAATTGTGACACTAGCTCTCCACATATGTCAGTTGCTTAATTTAGAAATTGTACTTGTGGTCGATCTCGAACCCATTGTTGATGTGACGACTTATATTGAATTTTGTAACTAGCTCATCAAGATTGTAACTTGCTTATCTAAATGAACTGTGGAGGTTCAGTCCCTGAGCCCATTATGTGCCTCTAACCCTTTCCACTACCGCCCACAAGATGGGTATGGGGTGCATAATAAATGAACTAATCTAACTAAACAGTGACACAAACTGTGTTAAATAATGACATTGAATATGCTGTACTATATTTAAATTTGATGATAAACAAGGAAGCAAAGCAAACACCAACAGAGCGACAGATTATATGTCGACTTAAATAGATGAATTTAAGTGGTGGTCGGGTGGTTGCTGCTTTAACGAGCTTAGCCTAACGACAAGTTGCTAGCTTTTTCTATTTGTGTTTCAGATATGTAGAACTTTACATTTATCAGCGATTTACTGAGGTATTTTATGTATTGTGTATACAAATACTGTAGTTTTCTCATGTATAAATTAATATTATTATATATAAGAGTTCAATGTATAATTAGGTATAGGTTAGATTTAAGTGTTTAGGTTCTGTTTACGATTATTTATATTTGAGGTGCGTGGGTGAAGCATTTACAGAGCTGCGATTCGATGAGAGGTCGCCAGTGAAAACCTGCAGTTTATTTATTTATTTATGTATTTATTTATTTATTAATTTATTCATTTTATTTATTTATATGCAAGAAGGTACAGTGGGGGTTAAGAGAGTACATAGTAATGATGATTTTACACTCTTGTAAAGCCACTAGCACGCATAGCGTTTCGGGATAGTCCTTAATATAACAGATACTTTTAAGTAGATAATTTCTAGTAAAATTGAAAAAAAAAATTTACAGGTACATTGTAAGAAATTTTAACACAATAAACAAAGATTAGATTAATACATAATAATAACAATACACTATAATGACAAGGATTATTAAGGTACATAAGGGTAAAATATCAGGGTTATCAGTTGGTTCATTGTAACACAATTTGAGGATCATTTCAAGGAATAATGCAGTTGAATATGCACTCAATATAACAACCATGATATCAGATGATATCAAAGATTACAATGGTAAAGTTATATGGCTTATAGGTACATATATTGGGGTATTGGGTAGCACTAGATAAGTGCGAGTTAAGCACTAGGTAGGAAATTATGATGAAAGTAGGTACTTTTTGTTTTTGTTTTTGAATAAGGCAAAAGTTGGACAGCTTTTCAATTCGTTAAGGAGTGAGTTCTATAGACTGGGTCTCTTTATTTGCATAAAGTGTGTACACAGATTAAGTTTGACTCTGGGGATATCAAAGAGATATTTATGTCTGGTGTGGTGATTATGTGTTCTATTACAACTGTCCAGGAAGAGTTTCAGAACAGGGTTTGTACTTAAGAAAAAGGTTTTGTAAATGTAATTGGGACAAGAGAATGTGTGGAGTGAATTTATGTTTAGCATGTTTAGGAATTTAAACAGGGAAGCTGTGTGTTGTCTGAAAGCAAAGTTTGTTAGTGTTCTGGTAGCTGGGTGATGATGGGCTTGAGGTAGTTTGCAGAGGTTGAACCTAATGCACAGATACCATAAGATAGGGATAAGTGCATAATATAGTGAGAGAGAGCAGAGTAAGGTACATAATGTCTGATTTTAGAGAGTATACCAACTGTTTTAGAGACTTTCTTAGTTATGTAAAATAAAATAAAAAAATAAAATGTTTATTTAGGTAAGGTACATACATACAATAAATTTTTACAAAGATTGTTTAACTTATAGGTAGAGCTAGTACATACAATGCCTAAAGCCACTATTACGCAAAGCGTTTCGGGCATGATAAACTTAAATGACAAGCTTAATACTAATTGAGCATAATGATTAGAATGAAAACAAGAAATGAAAACAAAGATGAAAAAGCAGCACAAATACAATTAAGTCGACAAACAGCGCTCTTTAAAGAAAAACAGACATTGGTTGACAATAGAAGGGTAAGGTAGGTTACAGGGAATTTATTAGGTATAGCTTCGTTTTTAACTTAAACTGGTTGAGAGAGGTACAGTCTTTAACATGGTTGGGAAGGTCATTCCACATTCTGGGCCCCTTGATTTGTAGAGCATTTCTAGTTTGATTAAGTCGTACTCTAGGAATATCAAAACTGTATTGAATATGTTGTGTTGAATATGGGTGCTGAAGTCGAGTCTCTTGTCTAAGTACAGGCCAAGGAACTTTCCATCATTTTTATTGCTGATGTTAACATTGTCTATCTGAAGCTGAATTGCATTTGTTGATTTGCTTCCAAATAAGATGTAGTAGGTCTTTTCTATGTTTAGTGTGAGTTTGTTGGATGACATTTCGAGTTCGAACGTCATCTGTTATGAGTGGCGTGTAAACCTGTTTTCACTCGTAAACAGAAGGTTTAAAGTGCATTTGGCCTTTGTTGATGACGACGGATTTGATTTGAATGTTGCCGCCGAAGGCGGCTAGTTTATTGTGCACCCCATACTCATCCTGTGAGCGGTAGCACAAAAGCACTACAGAGGGCACAAAAGGTCTTTATCAGACCTCATCTTAGATTATTACATAAACAATTTCATCTATCCTTCACACCTTATAGTTACAATGATGACGACGGGTTGTTGTCCCTTCCGGGAATCGAATCCTGGATTATGTAGGATTTAGCTTGTATATCGAGAACGAAGCTAAATACCTCGATATGTGTGTGCTGGGAACACAAGTTAGGAAATAAAGTTACAGACCTGTGCATGAAGTTATCAATGAATATTATAGAAGAAAACTCTCTAAAAAAAATATAGCATTGGTTGGACGGAGTGGTTGGAGATATAATAGGAGTTGGCCCCCACCCCACTGACCGGACACCATTATCCGGCTCCTGCTGACCCGACACCTCCCAGGGCTCCATCTGACTGGACACCACTATACGCTCCCTCATTACCCCTTACCCCCCCCCCCCCCCCCCCACCCCAACACCACCAGAGCCCCGTCAATCATCCACACACACACACAGAACAGTTAGTGCATTTGTTTATTATGCACCCCATACCCATCCCGTGGGCGGTGGTGGAAAGGGTTACAGAGGCACAATGGGTTCAGAAACTGAACCCCATAGTTTATTTAACTAAGCAAGTAACAACCTTGTGAAGCCAGGTACACAGTTTTTAATACACACATACATATATACATACATACACAAAATGTATATACATATATTAAGTAATTTTATATCACAAGTGGTTCAAGAAGTGGACCGCAACTGTCTCTAAACAAGGTATTATACGTCCCAGGATGGACCAGGATTCATCAAGCACTTGTGACCACTTACGAAACCTGTACATCTTCCTTCTGTCATGAAGACTTAGTCTACATTTTTAACAATTATGAACTCCGGAGCACTACGAGGTTATCTATAGCAACAACAGTCTTGTGGTAAAGTTTACAAACTGGTAAACTGTGTAATAAATACAGACTAAACCGTCATGATCGAGGATATACAGGTTTCGTAAATAGACACGTAATACTTGATGAATAGTGGCCTTGCCAGCAGGTCCCTAACACCTCAAGGAGGAAAATACTGCAGGGAGAGTAAGGGGGTGTGGGGCTATTTAATTGCGACAATATGTATATGTTGCACAACAGTGTGCTGGTGTTGCATAACACAGCTGGCTACGAGCCCCGTGTCCTTGACGGAGTGAGGTCCTAGTTCTTTATGCCTCCCATGCTAGCCCTTATTGTTACCTCTTGCGGTATAATATACCTTTTGTGACATTCGAATTCTTTATCGAATCTGGTTTTAAAGTTGTGGATGTAGGTGGCTTCCACAACTTCTTTCCGGTCATTCCAAGTGTTGACCACTCACCACTCGAGCAGAGTACGAGTCTCTCCTTATGTTTCTTTGACTCATTTACGTTTCCAGCTTACATTTATGTCATTTCGTCCCACCTTTTCGGTGAGGGTACCAGTGTCACTTGTGCGTGTACCATGCAGGGTGTTGGTGAGGGTACCAGTGTCACTTGTGCGTGTACCATGCAGGGTGTTGGTGAGGCTACCAGTGTCACTTGTGCGTGTACCATGCAGGGTGTTGGTGAGGCTACCAGTGTCACTTGTGCGTGTACCCAGGGTGTTGGTGAGGGTACCAGTGTCACGTGTGCGTGTACGCAGGGTGTTGGTGAGGCTACCAGTGTCACTTGTGCGTGTACCATGCAGGGTGTCTACCAGTGTCACTTGTGCGTGTACCATGCAGGGTGTTGGTGAGGCTACTATTGCGTGTACCATGCAGGGTGTTGGTGAGACTATTTAAAATGAGTCAAGCGGAGGATTTAGAGGAGCAGAACTTTGTCTCGACCACCATCATAAAGTGTGTGAGAGAGAGATTTATACCAACAGTAAAGGAAAACAAATGAGGAAATATAATAACCCATAGTTTAATAGACAGTGTCAGGAAGCAAAAATGGCCAGCAGGCAGAAGTGGAGGAAGTACAGAAGACAAAGGACAGACGACAACAGGATCAGATACAACAGAGCTAGGAACGATTACATTAACATAAGACGAACATCGGAAAGGAAATATGAGAACGATATTGCGATCAAAGCGAAAAGCCACCTAAAGTACTAGACAGCCATATAAGAAGAAAAATGTCAGTGAACGACCAAGTAACAAGACTAAGGAAGACAGAGGGGGCATATACTGAAAGTGACAAGGAAATCTGCGAGGCACTGAATGCCATCTTCCATGGAGTGTTCACAACCGAGCCTGAGCAGCTCCCATTGTTAGAAGAGATTACCCTAGATGAAAGACTATCAGATATAGAAGTGACAGCAGAGGAGGTAATGAAACAGTTGACAACACTGGATGCAACTAAAGCGGTTGGACCAGACACAGTATCACCGTGGATACTAAAAGAAGCAGCGCAGGCCCTCAGCGTGCCTCTGGCAATGATCTTTAATGAGTCACTTATGTCGGGAGAATTGCCCAGTTGCTGGAAGAAGGCAAATGTACCGATTTTCAAGAAAGGTGATAGGGAGGAGGCACTTAACTATAGACCTGTATCACTGACAAGCATTCCCTGTAAAATACTTGAAAGAATAATTAGGCTACGACTGGTTGCACACCTGGAGAACGTTAGGTTTGTGAACAAACATCAACATGGGTTCTGGAAAGGGAAATCGTGCCTAACTAACCTTTTGGAATTCTATGATAAAATAACGAGGATAAAACAGGACAGAGATGGTTGGGCAGACTGTATATTTCTGGACTGCCAAAAAGCCTTTGATACAGTACCGCAAATGAAACTGCTGTTCAAACTCGAGAGGCAGGCGGGGGTGGGAGGAAAGGCCCTAGCATGGATAAGGAACTACCTAACAGGAAGGAGCCAAAGAGTTACGGTAAGGGGCGAGAAGTCGGACTGGCGAACAGTAAGGAGTGGAGTACCTCAAGGATCGGTGCTGGGACCAATTCTATTTCTAATATATGTTAACGACATGTTTACAGGCGTAGAGTCCTACATGTCGATGTTCGTGGATGACGCAAAGTTGATGAGAAGAGTTGTGACAGATGAAGATTGCAGAATCCTCCAAGAGGACCTGAACAAGTTGCAGAGATGGTCAGAGAATTGGCTACTGGAGTTCAACACGAGTAAATGTAAAGTTATGGAAATGGGACTAGGTGATAGGAGACCAAAGGGACAGTACACAATGAAGGGGAACTGCCTATCTGTGACGATGCGAGAAAGAGACCTGGGCGTGGACGTAACACCTAATCTATCTCCTGAAGCACATATAAATAGGATAACGATAGCAGCGTACTCTACACTGGCAAAAGTTAGAACATCATTCAGAGACCTAAGTAAGAAGGCATTTAGAGCGCTTTACACTGCCTACGTGAGGCCAGTCTTAGAGTATGCTGCCTCATCATGGAGCCCTCATATGAAGAAGCATATAAGGAAACTGGAAAAGGTTCAGAGGTTTGCAACGAGACTCGTCCCAGAGTTACGAGGGATGGGGTATGAGGAGCGTCTGAAGGAACTGTGCCTTACGACACTAGAAAAAAGAAGGGAGAGGGGGGACATGATAGGAACGTATAAAATCCTCAGGGGGATTGACAGAGTGGACAGAAACGAAATGTTCACACGGAATAGTAACAGAACGAGGGGACATGGGTGGAAGCTGGAAACTGAGATGAGTCACAGAGATGTTAGGAAGTTTTCTTTTAGCGTGAGAGTAGTGGAAAAATGGAATGCACTTAAGGAGCAGGTTGTGGAAGCAAATACTATTCATAACAACATAGCTTTATTCTCTGACAATGTAAGGAATCTTATCATAAATAACAATCTCAACAAAAATCACATCATTCTGGGAGGCGATTTCAATATTGACCTGGGTCTTCAAAACAACCCTCAAGTTTATTTTATTTATTTATTTATTTATATATATATATACAAGGTACATTGGGTTTGTGAGAATACATTGGATAGTATATGTTCAGTAATGCATGCAGTTATAACATGACACAGTTATAACTGGTTCAGTAATAACATGACACAGTTATAACTGGTTCAATAATAATATGGCATAGTGATACCTGGCACAGTGATAACTTCCATCACTCGCCAGTCCATACACATAACAGCTTAAATGAGCACCTATGTATTTTAGAATGCAATTACTGAGACAGGTATTAAATAAATATTAACTCATTGTAATTTGTCTAGATTATGCAACACACTATATTTATTGCTTCATTTTTGTTTCAGACAAGACCCGTTCCAAGTTTTTGAAGTAAGTATGAATCTATTTTTGGTTCAATGTATATTAAGATTCATTTCTCGTCGTTGAATTCGTTTATGTTTTTGACCATGCAGAATACTTATTTTTGTTGCAAAATGTGTTGACCGCAGACATTTTAAAGCTATGAATACAATGTTCTCAACGGTGTATACAGCAACATTGTTCCTCCCCTGTGGGAACGGCATTCCTTTACTTTGCTTTTACAGGTGAACGACATTATCATACTTTCAAATTAATAAAAATTTACAAATCTGTAATGTCAAGACAATTTAATTCCCACTCCTAGAAGACATATAAGAGAATTTTGCTTCCATCATAGCCTATATTAACCATTAGGGCATTGAGATTTTGCGTCATTGCCCCATTATTTAATAAAAAAATACCCCGAATTCTGATACTAACCCACAGTTGTGTTGTGTACTCCATCTGACGTGGGGTGTAAAGAGTGAGTCTAGTGGATAACTTAAATCCAATCATAGTGTCACCTCGGTGTATAAGGTGTTAGCTTATTTATTAAATTAGTCATTTATCGCCATTAGCTATTGTTAAGGATTATGCGTCTGCTATGTGCGGTCTAGTATTATGGAGAAGGGTCAGCAATTAGAATTAAGATGTATCTCAAGTATTGGAGATCATAAAGGCCTGGCCCCCAATAAGATTTAAAGTGTTAACTACTTGGCTACAAGACAATGTCAGCTTTTTTTTTTTTTTTTTTTTTTGAGATATATACAAGAGTTGTTACATTCTTGTACAGCCACTTGTACGCGTAGCGTTTCGGGCAAGTCCTTAATCCTATGGTCCCTGGAATACGATCCCCTGCCGCGAAGAATCGTTTTTTCATCCAAGTACACATTTTACTGTTGCGTTAAACAGAGGCTACAGTTAAGGAATTGCGCCCAGTAAATCCTCCCCGGCCAGGACACGAACCCATGACATAGCGCTCGCGGAACGCCAGGCGAGTGTCTTACCACTACACCACGGAGACTGCATCAAACCTGACAAACCTGACAGCATCAAAGACTGACAGCCTAGAGGTAGATCACTGATCTCCTACACAGGAAGAATGGATACTCCTTTAAAACTAACTTATTTATTAAACCCTCTTAACAACCCCCCATATACATTCACACCAATAACAATAATTACTTTAGCTATCTATCTTACGTTAAAAGCCTTGGTCCACATAAGCAGGATACAAGGTTTTACAATGAGCACAAGCTAGGGTAAAGTTTACTAGGCAAGGGACACTAGCAAAGACTCTAGGTAGCTTACTGGTACTACTGGAGCCCACGTGGTTCCACTGGGATCCCCCTTAGAGTAACTTAGCAATATAAACACTAGTGATCACCTAATTAATCAATACACATTAATACTCTACACATTAGAACACACTTATGCCAGAAATGAGGATACAGCACAGTACTTATCTTGGTAAACTAGACACAGAAATAGGTAAGGGAGAGAAGCAGGAGGAAGGGGAGAAGGTTGTTTACACCACGACGCCAGCCAGAGAGGGAAGAGCGTCGCCAGTTGCTTCCTCCAGCTGACTCGCTGCCGGCCGACTACTCAGCTAATCGTACAGCAGCCCTATATCCAAGTTTACTCAGATCTACTTTACTAATACTTTCTAATCATTTGTAAACATAGTTGATGCCTATTTTATTAATTAATAATCAACCACAAGCTCAGTCTTTAAATGCTCTGTGAGAAACAAGATTCGTCTTATGTCTGGCAAGGGAGATACGAACAAACACACATCGGCAAGCGTCCCAAATAATATAATGTAGTTTATTTAGCTCAATTTGACCTCTGGTTTCCACTGATGAACCCAGGGTCGTAACAGCTATAATGATGGATCGTATTGGTTGTTATATAATAACACTGGAAATGTTTGATCTTCATCCCTAGAATATATCCTAATATTCAGTGCGTATGGACGCAAAATATTCGTTTATGGGCTCGCTACCCTTCGCCCCTTTGCAGCCTAATAACATTTTCTAAATTAGTTTGCACGATTAATTATTTAGTACTATAGCACTAATTATTAACCGCTGGCCGTATGCAGTGTGTTAGCATATTGTACCAGATTAATAACATTCTATGTTATTGACATTTTCATTGATGGTCTTTTATAATTTATTGATACCTTAACTCGTAGAGTTGGGTATGAACTACTCACCTGACACCTGACTGAATGAGGAGCCAGGTGTGTATTAATAACACTTGACAGTTTACCTCGGAAGGAGGAACCGGGTACACATTTGTAAACTATCACTGGTAAACTTGTCGGGAGTCAGATGTACAAATGAAATATTTAATAAATTACCTGTATTTTTATCACGTGGTGTTCACCCAGGTGGAACATGAGGCGTGTTTGGACTTTGAGATCAAGGTTGAACGAGGAGAGTGTATCACCAAAGGCAGCACACTACAAGACATCAGTAAGTATAATTTGCGATGAATGTGAGTCTTGCTTGAGAATCAAAACACTAAAGATTACACGGGTCTACAAGTGTTGACTTGTATAAGCGTATGTCTTAAAGTTATTTTTTGCAAAATGGGAGTGTTTTGCCATTAATTCTATTGGGTTATGCAGCCCATATATATATATGAGGGGAAACTTATGACATCTTGAAGCAGCTTTTGAAGTGCATATAAACTATGTCCAGCATCAGTGGCAGCTCTGCGGCCACTGAAGGTTGTTGCTCTTGTGATGGGTCTTCAGGCTGGGTACACAAAGTACTGCCGTGTTCTTCGTTAGTGAGATATTTGTGCGAGAGCTTCTTCAATGTTATGAAAGACTGCCGTCATTGAAATCAGGGTGAAAAACATTTAGCATCCGTCATTTGTTGAATCAATCACGATTTTGTTACAAACCATATTAATTATTATATTTGAAATCAGCATGTCAAAATGCATGATAAATAGCTCTTTTCATGTCAGATGCAGAAAACCTTTAAAAAAATTGTTGACCAGTGTTACATTACATGTAAAGGATTACTAATCAGTGTTGTACCTTTAATAAGATTAGCTTTAATAATTAGGTAACAAATCGTTGCTGAGACAAACTAACATGATGTATTTTAAGCTGATTGTCATGTCAGTATTTGTTTTTGTTTTAGTGGACACTCCAGATCCATATGTTATACTCAAGATTCCTGGGAGCTCAAACTCCTCCAAAAGAACCAGTCATGTGGACAACTGCACCAATCCCATCTGGGACGAGTCTTTCCACTTCTACCTCGACCCTTCTAAAGAACACAACCTAAGTATTTTATCTTATTTCGCAGCCATTTAACTAAACACAGTAAATATTCATAAATTTTAGTCATGAAAGCATACCTTGTAATTCTTAAATCACGCGAATGTTAATTTGTTCTTGTGGCTTCAACTTCATTGTTTCTTAATTATTAAACATAATTCATACATTTTTGTTCTTGTGCATAAATTTTTCAGAGTATCTAAACATTTTTAAAATACATTATTATTACTATTGTGGAAAATACAGTATGTATTTACCTAAATTTACCCGAGGGACACAATCTCTGTAGTGGCATCGATGAGGACAGGAGGCCGCCGGCTTGTCAAAGGTCCCGCACTTGTCTCGATGATTTTATTAAACTGGATCTTAAATTGTAGCAATGCTTTGGCATTTGGGGCTTCAGCGAGTAAGGGTTACATGGATTCATATAACCCTATGAAACCCTATGGAAAAGCATCTATTTTCTGTCCAACATTGTGGCTTGTTGAGCTTGAAATCAAATAAATGACCGAATATATTTGTAATTTCTTCTTTTGCAGAGGTGGTATTGATGGATGCCAACTACACCATAGATGAATCTTTGGGTGAAGACACTTTCTGTGTTAATGAGTTAACTAATGATATTCCCACTGAACACACTTTTGTCTTCCCCGGTGGCTCTAAAATTCACACACTTCTTAAGCTACAGAAAAAGTAAGTTAAAATTGATTTTAATGTGGGAGGTAACTCATAATAGTTGTACTGTTATGTCCTCAGTTTATTTAATGTTGAAAATTTCACCGAATTAAAAATTCTAGAAAACACGGTGCAACATTTTTAAGGTCGCCATTTACTTTAAGTTCCCCCCCCCCCCCCCCCCCCCCCCCCCCCCACCCCCCCCCCCCCCCGTATGGGTTTATTAGAAATTGTTCGTGTTCGACGAAAATCATGGTTGTATTCATTACATATCTGGATGTTCAGAGCATATAATAAAGTTCCTCATCGAAGACAACTTCGTAAAATAAAAGTAAATGGTATAGACTGTCTGTGAGATTTTTCTATATATTGATATGCAACCTTGGCGAGAGTTATGGTCATACAACTGAGGTGCGATGCTCAGAGACACTTTAACTATCGCCGCGGGTCTTCGCGTCCCTGTGCTCAGGTTTAATAGGTAAGACTTACCATGAGTAACAGGAGTGAGAAGTCGTCTGTACCTGTACTTACTTGTATGAAGAAATGTGTTACTAGTCTTAAATATAAATGTTATATCTTTGCAGTAAAACGCCGGACCTGCGCTTCTCTCTTGCGTTGTGTCAGCAAGAAAAAGACTTTCTCCAGATCCGTCGAAGGAAAGTCTTCGTGGCGATGAAGAAGTTATTGGCCGACAAAGCACCAGATACAGACAAACAGGTAACGTTCAAACTACTATATGTACAAATATATAAAAGATGAGAACAATTCTGGAAATAGCGCCTGTGAGGACAGCCTCGTCGTTGGTGAGCTTGACCTTACCGTTGACCCTGGTAAGTCTAGTACATTTCCTACCCCATCCTGGGTAATAAGGTCATTTGGCATAAGTATTATAAGACTCAGGGTGACAAAGTACTCACAGAAGCACTTATCATGAAGCAAAAAACAAATGAATCTGAACATTGGGAGAGAAAATTCCAAACAGATTCTCATTAAATTATGAATTGCACCAAAATATTGCTTGCACTAATTTACGAATATAAATAGTATTGAGTAGTCCCGAGTGATTATAAAATAAAATGTTATTTAAATTTGTATAATTTATGCCTATATGGATTCAAAATTGCTTATTCGATCAGCAATGCTAAAAGGTTTGCAGTTTATTAGTTCCATTTTGCTTTATGTTTTATTTTAAACATAGTTGTATGTGTTACATTCTTCAGCACAGAAGACGTGTAATACCACGTAGCAACAACTAGCAGAATGTAAAGTTAAATCTACAAAGAAATAACAAAATATTATTCAACAATCAAGATATATTGTATCTTAATTATTCCAACATGTGCCAGGACAAGTAATATTATCCGTCTAGTAAACACTAATTATTGTCACCTCTAACGACACTACGAAAGGCAAATGACACAAAGAAATAACATTTGCAAGAGACGGACAAAATTGTATATAAATAATCTCCCAACCCTACTAAGACCATCAACACATCAATCCTCACAAGTATATCTGGGAGACGCTGTTTGATAAAGATTACTTCCTCTGTCTGTGCCTAGCAGAGGCTTCCAGGCCAATGGAACAGGCATCCACAAAACACTGATTCTCAAACCATGTCAGTTAGGCCTCGACTGTTCTCTGTCTTTTGGAAATCTGCTTCGATTTACTAACGGGACATTCTCCTCCACATTCCAATTCGGTGATGAGATGAGGGACAAGGTGCCATCGTAGGTGTTCTGGCACCACCACCAAGTCAGCAGTGAGAGCTTACAACAGTGGGTCTTGAACAACACTAGCACTCACAGGGCTCTATTGGTTAAATTCATTTCTAATATCATCTACCATATCACAAAGTGCCAGCGAGTCACTTGCTCCTTCACTGGTCTAAATGGTGCACGGCAGAATAGGGAGAGGTTCAGCCTGTGGTGCCACGTTTTACCCATTTAAACATAAATAATATTAAAGATAATATATATTTTTAAATACATTATTTTCTAGTATAGTATGCACAATAATTAGGCCGTATTTGTATCTCTGAGCTGAAACGTATAATTAGGCAAGCAGGCCTATGGTGGCTAAAGCCCTTTTTTTACATCTTTAACACTCTAAATGTCTTGTAAATGAATAGAACAAAATAGTATTCAATAAGTTTCAAGAACAGTTCCTTCGCCTAATACAAATAAACTGTATACAAGTGTTATAGGAAAGGTGCAGTTCCAGCTCACAAGAAAATTTAACTAAAATAAGTGATGTATAAACAAATCAAATGCATTGTGACTGAATGAAATACTGTGTAACTAAATATTTGGAGACTAATATTTTGATACACGTAGTGTATATAACGGATCATTAAACTTCACTAGTCCACTGGACACAATGTCTCCTCCAAAGCATATACTCGTGTTTTAGGGAAGATGTGTGTTACACAGGTACTAATCCTGCTGCTCCACGTGTATGTATCGTTGCAGGTTCCCATTATTGGTGTTCTCGGGTCTGGTGGAGGGTTCAGGGCCATGACGTGTCTCAGTGGTGCAGTGAAGGCCCTTCACGAGTCTGGCATCCTTGACTGTGTTACTTACATCGCTGGGCTCTCTGGCTCCACCTGGTAAGCTCTTACCCAGACGAGTAAAACTTATTAAGAGTAATTTAGATAGAGGTACTACATTAAAGTTTCCATTGATGGTTTAAATATATATATATATATATATATGTCGTACCTAGTAGCCAGAACTCACTTTTCAGCCTACAATGCAAGGCCCGATTTGCCTAATAAGCCAAGTTTTCATGAATTAATATATTTTCTCTAATTTTTTTCTTATGAAATGATAAAGCTACTCATTTCATCATATATGAGGTCAATTTTTTTTATTGGAGTTAAAATTAACGTAGATATATGACCGAACCTAACCAACCTTACCTAACCTAACCTAACCTATCTTTATAGGTTAGGTTAGGTAGCAGAAAAAGTTAGGTTAGGTTAGGTTAGGTAGTCGAAAAACAATTAATTCATGAAAAATTGGCTTATTAGGCAAATCGGGCCTTGCATAGTAGGCTGACAAGTGCGTTCTGGCTACTAGGTACGACATATATATATATGTGTGTGTGTGTGTGTATATCACGAAAATAAACACGTGATTAAAAATGTGACAATGTCAGACCACGGAGGAAAAATGAAACAGAAATTTCCTTAAGTACTTTCGTATATTAATGTATTGTATTATGTATTGTATTAATATACGAAAGTACTTAAGGAAATTTCTGTTTCATTTTTCCTCCGTGGTCTGACATTGTCATATATATATATATATATATATATATATATATATATATATATATATATATATATGTCGTACCTAGTAGCCAGAACGCACTTCTCGGCCTACTATGCAAGGCCCGATTTGCCTAATAAGCCAAGTTTTCCTGAATTATTATATTTTCTCATTTTTTTTTCTTATGAGATGATAAAGCTACCCATTTCATTATGTATGAGGTCAATATTTTTTTATTGGAGTTAAAATTAACGTAGATATATGACCAAACCTAACCAACCCTACCTAACCTAACCTAACCTATCTTATTAGGTTAGGTTAGGTAGCCGAAAAAGTTAGGTTAGGTTTGGTTAGGTAGTCGAAAAACAATTAATTCATGAAAACTTGGCTTATTAGGCAAATCGGGCCTTGCATAGTAGGCAGAGAAGTGCGTTCTGGCTATTAGGTACGACATATATATATATATATATATATATATATATATATATATATATATATATATATATATATATATATATATATATATGCGAACAAGCCTGAATGGTCCCCAGGACAATACGCAACTGAAACTGAAATATATATATATATATATATATATATATATATGCAATTGACGATCACAAAACACTGATCATTTTATGCGGAAAATCCACAGAGAAATATGAAATGAGGTGAACGTTTCGGCTTTGTTAAAGCCTTTGTCAACACCAGACTGACTAAGGAGAAGGGAGAAGGGGGAGGATATATAGGCCGACACCTGACCAACCCATCCCTAGGGTTGGTCAGGTGTAATTAACCAAAAACAGGTATAGCTTAGAATGGTCAAAGAGGATTAAGCGGTCAGAGAATAAGGATGAAAAATGGGTGACAGATCTGGGGTGCTCGGGTCGACCCCGGGCACCGCCGGGTGTCCCACCTAGTGTGTATATATATAGCAAAAGACTTGTGGTTATTGAGAAGTGCATGTGAACCTTAAATGTTAATATTCAGCAGTGTGTATCTTTACCAGGTACATCTCCACTCTCTATGCACATGATTCATTCCCCAATGTGCCGCACGTACAAGTCCAGAAAGAACTTGAGGCGTCTGTGACGGAAGGGTGGAAGCGCCACCTGATGCGGACGCCACAGTATGTAGCTAGTATGGTTGCCAAGTACAAGCAGGGGCAACCTGTGTCCTTGACGGATTTCTTTGGTCATCTTCTTGGAGACGTTCTTCTCAAAGAGGTAATTAAATATATTGTTAATGCTTTTGTTCGTATATTCTCTTGTCATTTAACCTAAAATGTTGTCTGTGTAATATATCACATATTACTTCGTACTTTTTGCACTACTAATAGCAACTAAATCTTAGCAATTAAATTGAATCAGGAAGCGAGGAGAAAATTTATGTAAGGAAAAAGATGGTCGAGTTTGATATAAAGTTATCAATAATTAAGGACCTTGTAGCGTTTGTGACGCATGGTAGTGGGAGCAGGAGCAGTCTGGATCGCCAATTCACATCACCGGAGAAGGGCTTCCGTCTCTTACCGGTATAAAACACCATGCTGGGAGTAGGGTCTGACCGTCTAGAGTGAAGTGCAGAACAAGAATCAGGTGATCAATGATCAGATCGATGATTGCTTCTCAATGATTGCTTCTCTGTGCAGCGTCTCCTTCATGATCGGTTCTTATGTTACTTTCCCCTTTTTTGTTTTAGTTGATGAAGCTAGTCGTCTCCCATTTTAAGATTTTATGTAGTAGCTCACTTTAGTTAGGCCATATGTTGTGTAGGAATATTAATATTTGTGTTTATTACAATTATAATACCTCAGTTTAGAAATATAATTGTGTACGTACAGTAATTAAACATTATTGTACAATAATAGTAATACATAAACACATTTCTATTTCAGCAAAAAAACAAGAAATTATCTGAATCGCAGAAGATTCTTGCTGAAGGGATCGTACCAATGCCTCTGTATGCCGGTCTTCACGCCAAGAATAAAGTGTCCTGTCGTTCCTTTTCAGTAAGTAATGGAATAGTATCCTTCTCGTAACTGGGAGCGGTTAAATCATTCACAGATGCTTGGTCCACCGGCCATTTTATAATTGTTAAACTGCATATATCGTTTGCCTAGGCTGCATTTGGTTATGCCAGGTTCGGTTCGGATTGGTTAGATTAGGCGAGTTTTAATGGAAGCAAAATGCGTTGGCAAACCTTCTATATAAAGTTACATGTATCCCTCATATATGACTACCCTAGAAGAGTCCGGGCTGATCATCGTAAAGCTGCTACTGTCTGGTTTTTATTATTTATTTATTTATTTATTTATTTATTTATGTATTTATACAAGAAGGTACATTGGGATTGTGAGGATACATAGCATAGTAATAACATTCTTGTAAAGCCACTAGTACGCGCAGCGTTTCGGGCAGGTCCTTAATCTAAGAAATTTATAAGTAGGTAAATACTTGCAAAATTCATAAAAATAATAAAAGTTACAAAGCATGAAAAATATAAAAGATGAGAGAAAAATTATAATTGAAAGAATGATAATGATTTATAATTTTAGTTTTAATTATGAGTCCTCGTAAAAGTTTATATGGCCTTAAAACAACTGCTAAGCTGTAATTTTGCATATATCTATGGGATATTATAAGTTTGTAAACTGTTATAGATCTATTCCATAAAAGTCAATATTCCTCTGATATTAAATTACGTTGTCTTAATATATCTACTGGAATTAAATTTTCGTGTCAGAAATATGAACTTAATGATCATATTAATATTTTTCAGGAATGGATAGAATTCTCTCCATATGAGATAGGCATTGCTAAGTACGGTACTTTCATGAAGACACAAGATTTCGGAAGTAAATTCATAGTAGGGAAAAAAATTAAGACTTTCGAAGAATTTCCTCTCCACTTTCTTCAAGGTGAGACCATGCTTCAGAATGAAACCTTAAATACTACATAAAAGCATCCAAAGTAATGTAGCAGAATATTTACTTTCATCTCGCCTTCAAGCAACACTGAAGTATCACGTACAGATTACTTACTTATATCTTGCTTAAAAGTAGCACAATTATGCAACACATGGAATATTTGCCTCCATCTTACCTACTAGCCAACAAAATCTTCAGACCAGTTCAGTAATCCACATTCTTTTCATACATTCTTGACTCTTGGTAATATTTAGCAGTGATTAATATTCTTTGCTATTGCCAAAACATGTGAATTATTTGTGCCAAGACGAAACATATGCATCTCAATAGTATACTGACCTGCAGAATAAGTCTTCGTCACACTCTAACATTAATGATTTTTAAAGTATCAACAGAGTATTCTGTGCTTTTATTTCTTTGTTGATATTGATAATTACATCATATCAACCTGTCCTCTGGGAGGAAATACGCTCATGGGAATGGATTCAGAACGACTACATAATTAGTGCTACTAGCTACTCTATATCCATGATTAAGTTAGGTTAAGGTTACTTTAGTTTTAGGTTTGATTAGATTATATTTCTTGTTTGGTTATGCTAATACAATGAATTATTGATGTGAAATACGGAATTCGAAAACTATTTGAGTGTACCCAAAAATATAATTTACAGAAAACCGTTTTTAAAGAAACCGTTTTCAGCATACATTTTTTATATTTTAAACTAATGATTTATATTACAATAAAATTAAAAAAAATCAAATTCAAATGTTTATTCAGGTAAAGTACATACATACAAGGTGTGATACAAATATTGATAAATTTATTGATAGAGCTAGTACATACAATGCCTAAAGCCACTATTACGCAAAGCGTTTCGGGCAGAAACGCTTTGCGTTTCTATTTAACACACACACAATAAAGTTATATCTTGAGAATAATCTATTTAGGACAAAGGTTCACTTCCCAGTTTACTTGTAGACTATTACTGGAACCATAATGTTTTTTCAGACCATCTGGATAACTATCGAGGTGGTTTGAGGGTTTGAGGTGGGGGGGGGGGGGGGTGGTTCTCAAGGTAGTGGATTTGGTCTAAGGCCGGGCTCATAAGGTACAGTGTTATGAGTAGGTAGTAAGAAGAGCAACATTTCAGGAGTGTGGGGCAGCGCCTTCACAATACTCATCAAGAGGCTGGTGATGGAAGGGGGGAAGAAGGACATTGTGCAGATCATGAGAGATGTTCAGAAGGACGAAATGGAAAGTAAGTACTGAGGCATTTTCCTCCATAATATATACACCCAATGACTTAAGTTTTGCTTAGGCTTATGAAAATATGATGCAAAGGCACCACTAAAGATGAAAGTTCAGCTGGATATAGTTTGCGAAATATCTGCTCTTGTTGTAGAACAAAACCTTTGATATCGTATAGTATTGGGAACATTGTCTCCTGCTCACTGGCGAATCGAAGACGAGTCTCTTGATTGGCCAGTGATCAGGAGACAGCCAATCTTCAGAAAGCTGGACAAGTGTTTAACTTGTCTACTTATTATCGACATGTGTTTGGGTCTTAAATTATAATAAGGCTCATCTACTGTACAAGGGCCACCTAGACCCAAATTTTGTATACGTTTCCTTCTCAATTGCCTTCTGACCAGCAATCATTCCTGTTCAAACTGTTCCTTGGGCATAACTCTATAGGGTGAAAAGGCGCCTGCCTACAAGGATATATATTCTCAGATAGATAAAACCCGTTTCTTGGTGTATATACACCGAGTTTGTTTTAGTCCTGGACTATGTTACGGACTAAAGTATTCTTTCTGGTTGGTCAGTAAGCTGCTGTTGTTGCCTTAATAACCTTCCATAGGTAGATAGGTGTTAAGACCAATACCAAACCAAACCAAGCATGGTAAGGAAGGAGTCCCTGTTGGAAAATGTGCTTGTGTGAATAACTCTTGAATTTGGAATTCCCGCCAATGCAGTGGGTAGTTCTGCACATGCGCAACGCATTGTCACGGTGTAAAAATGTTCCTCTCAACAAAAAGTGTAAGCGTCAATGCAATAAATATCTCGAGTACATTCAGTGATTGAAAATATGTCTGTGGCTCTGGTTTATTATGCAATCTAAATAACCTTTGTGTCAATATTACATATAAAATGTTGCATATTGTAATAATAATACTAATGTATGAATATAGACTAGTTGCACTATTAGATACTGGTTCAAATGCAGTTGTGTGTGGCTCATTAAGGTTTACTTTCAGAACAAAGATGTGACACACACAGTTCCGGAGAGAGCTCAGACTCGGACGACGAGGAATATATTGACGGTAAGGATGATAGAGAATCTGAAGAGTCTTATGGAGAAACTTCCAATCCTCATAAACCAAAGGAAAACATATCTCTTCCGCAAGAGAGCACTCCAAAGACACAAGCTACAGAAGATTCCGTCGATTCTGATGGAAAACCTAGAGTTATGACTGGATTGGGTTTAAAACAACGGAATAAAAAGATTTCTCTTGGATTTTTAGAGTTTCCGGGGAGGACGATTTCCGGAGTGAAAAAAAAAATGAGCACAGCCAGCGATCCAGGAATTACGACAGAGTCTGAAACAAGTCCCAACTCGAGCTTAAGGCACCAGAGCGACACTGAAGGCTCCCAGTCACCAACCCTTGAAAACTGTAACAATGCACCCGGAGTTAAATATTTTGCAAATAGAAGGCAAGTACTTAACATGTACTGTTATAACGAATTATACCATCTGTGGAATACCATAGACAACTGTTATCTCTGGTACACTCTACTGATACTGTTATCTCTGGTACATTCTACTGATACTGTTATCTCTGGTACACTACTGACACTGTTATCTCTGATACACTACTGACACTGTTATCTCTGATACACTCTACTGACACTGTTAACTCTGATACACTACTGACACTGTTATCTCTGATACACTCTACTGATACTGTTATCTCTGATACACTCTACTGACACTGTTATCTCTGATACACTACTGACACTGTTATCTCTGATACACTACTGACACTGTTATCTCTGATACACTACTGACACTGTTATCTCTGATACACTACTGACATTGTTATCTCTGATACACTACTGACACTGTTATCTCTGATACACTACTGACACTGTTATCTCTGATACACTACTGACATTGTTATCTCTGATACACTCTACTGACACTGTTATCTCTGATACACTCTACTGACACTGTTATCTCTGATACACTCTACTGACACTGTTATCTCTGATACACTACTGACACTGTTATCTCTGATACACTACTGACACTGTTATCTCTGATACACTACTGACACTGTTATCTCTGATACACTACTGAGACTGTTATCTCTTATACACTCTACTGACACTGTTATCTCTGATACACTCTACTGACATTGTTGTTATCTGCAACACCTTACTCCACATTACCATAACATTTTCGGTCATAAATTGGATATATTGCCACATATCATATTTTCATTTAAACAAAAGTGTTTTTTTATCACCAGCTTTATTAATATACATTAATATTTATTTACATAATGTTTTACTACAAATTACTTTCATGATTTACATTCTTCAGAAAATGCCTTGAAAAGGCAAGAGAAGAAAAGAAGGCGGGATTATTTGATGGGTTGGTTGATGCCGTGATGACGGGGGCCCACATGCTCAACGCCAGAGCCGGGCGGGCAGGGGAGGTGCTCAGCCCCTTCAGAGGTCTCACCTTAAGGCATTCCTTCCCCATATCCCCCATTGCTGCTCTCACCAGTGGTGTCGACGACCAGGACGATGACGGTGAGTAGGACCTGCAACAGTTTATTGTAGTGTTCGTTAATGATAAGTTGCTTATGTACTGCCAGAGACTGAAGTTTGTTCATTACAAGATGTAATAGGACCCATTATCACCACACCAGAAATAAATATCTCTTTGATATCCCCAGAGTCAAACTTAATCTGTGTAAACACTCTATGCAGATAAAGGGACCCAGTCTATGGAACTCACTCCCTATTGAATTGAAAAGCTGTCCAACTTTTGCGTCATTCAAAAACAATTCTAAAAAGTACCTAATTTCATCTTCATAGTTTTTTACCTTTTGCTTTAAAATTGCACTGTATCTATTGCTACCCAATCTCAAATGTGGTGGCCACACATTGACAATGTTAATCAACATATATACATTTTCTTCTGTCCTCCATGGACAGGGTGAGAGATTTGTCAAACATATAGTTCAGGGGATACAAATACAAATACAAATATTTATTCGGGTAAAGTACATACATACAAAGTGAGATACAAAACGTTGATGGCTTTATAGATAGAGCTAGTACATACAATGCCTAAAGCCACTATTACGCAAAGCGTTTTGGGCAGTTATTGAACAATCCGGGATTTACTGAACAATCAACCACAGAAGGTGATTTTAGTGCTTTTAAAATGCTAGGCTAAGCTACATACGTAAATACATAGATACACAGATTTATGTATGCTACATAAAGTGTTCGATGTGTCTTTTACATAGTGTCATTAAGGTGCATTTACAAAGGTGAAATGTAATTCTGATCAGCGTCCACATGTACTTTATACACATACATACACATACATGAGCCACAGAGACGTTAGAAAGAATTTTTTCAGTGTCAGAGTAGTTAATAAATGGAATGTATTAGGAAGTGATGTGGTGGAGGCTGACTCCATACACAGTTTCAAATGTAGATATGATAGAGCCCAGTAGGCTCAGGAATCTGTACACCAGTTGATTGACAGTTGAGAGGCGGGACCAAAGAGCCAAAGCTCAACCCCCGCAAGCACAATTAGGTGAGTACAATTAGGTGAGTACACATATACATACGCAAAACTCTGGGGTGTGGCGTTTTTAGTTACATATACATACAAATACATAGATACATACATACATATATATATATACACATACATACATACACATACATTTGTCTCTTTTACTCTGACAGGGTGAGATAGCTGATAGAGAAATTAGTGTGCAATTAAGCACTTAATCACTGAAGGTGATTAAGGTGCTTTTACAAGCTCAGGTTATATAGTTACATCACATACATACATTCATTGTATAATTGATACATTACATGGTTAATCTTGGGTACAAGTCCAATATATCATCAAGTGTTCCAGTACTCATATAGTAATTACACAGTTCAGCATACCTCAGCCCAGGAGGGCCAAAGTCAGTCAATATGGGACATTCTACAATATAATGTTCAAGAGAGTGCATGTTTTCTCTTTCACAAAGTTGACACATTGTGTACTCGACATTTGGGTTTTGAGAAAGCTGCCAGATACGTCTATATCCCAGGCGTATTCTGGCCACTATAACATCACATTGCCGGGTTCTTGTTCTACTAGTCCCATATGTGAATGTCTCCTCACGATATCTATCATAATATTTAATGCTACAACTTTCAGGTCTTTGTAAATTTGTTAGGTCGGTGAGATCTTCATTAGATATTTGTTTCAGTATTCTCTTTGTCACTACTAATGAAACACCCAAATCAATTTCTACCACTGGTTTTCTACAGGCTGTCTTTGCAAGCATATCAACAGTGTCATGCCTTGAGATGCCAACATGTGATGGTATCCATAGGAATTTAATTTCAAATCTGTTTTCTTTAAGCAGCTAAAAAATTCGTTCGAATATCACTTACTATTTTCTGGGTGTCACTACTATGTGCGTTCAGTGCCAGGAGTGCACTCTGCGAGTCACTGTATAAGGCCACTGCCTTTGTCTTTTAAAAATTCAGTGGCAAGGTATATGCCTGCAAGTTCGGTTTGAGTAGAAAGCTATACAAGAGATAAAGAAAAATCCAAAATATTTTTTTACATTCACATTCACAATATCAAAAACCTCCACCAGTATTGGACCGTTAATTACAACTGAAGGTACGTACACAGAGGACGACAAAGAAATTAGTGGAATTCCAAGAAGCCAGTATGAGGCTATGTTTAGCACACCAATAAACAACATGAAAGTTGATGACCCAGACAGCTTCTTTATGAATGACATTCAAGCTGCAGATAATATAATGGATATTAACACGAACTCGGAAGACTTTGAAAGAGAAATTGACAATATGCCCAAGCACTCATCTCCTGGGTCTGACTCGTGGAATTCAATATTCAATAAGAAATGTAAAGTACCAGTAGCGCGAGCGCTCAGCATAATATGGAGAAATAGCCTTGATACAGGAGAGATACCAGCAGCACTTAAATCTGCAGATATAGCTCCTCTACACAAGGGGGGTAGTAAAGCCGTGGCAAAAAATTATAAACCAGTTGCACTAACATCACACATAATAAAAGTTTTTGAAAGAGTGATTAGGAATCAAATCTCTAGTTTCATGGAAAATAATGAACTACACAACCCAGGACAACATGGATTTAGAGCGGGAAGATCTTGTCTGTCACAGTTACTCAACCACTATGGCAAAATCACAGAAGCTCTAGAAGAAAAGCAAAATGCAGATGTAGTATACACAGACTTTGCAAAGGCATTCGACAAATGTGACCATGGAGTGATTGCACAAAAAAATGAGGTCACTGGGAATAACTGGTAGAGTAGGACGCTGGATACTCAATTTCCTGTCGAACAGAACACAAAGAGTAACAGTCAATCAAATAAAATCGAATCCAAGCGCAGGTAAAAGCTCTGTACCTCAAAGTACAGTCCTTGCACCACTGCTTTTCCTTATTCTCATATCAGATATAGACAAAAATACAAGTCACAGCTTCGTGTCATCCTTTGCAAATTACACAAAAATCAGCATGAAAATTACCTCTGCGGAAGACACTGAAAACTACAAGCAGATATCAACAAAGTTTTCGATTGGGCAGCAGAAAATAACATGATGTTTAACAGTGATAAATTCCAGGTTCTCAGGTACGGCAAAAATGAGGATCTGAAACATAATACAGGGTACAAAACACAATCGAATCTGCTCATAGTAGAAAAACAGCATGTCAAGGATTTGGGAATAATGATGTCCAACGACATAACGTTTAGGGAGCATAACCAAGCAAATATTGCGTCAGCCTGAAAATGATAGGATGGAACTTTCAAATCCAAGGATCCCATCACAATGGTTGTACTCTTCAAGTCACTTGTGCTGTCCCGTCTTGAGTACTGCTCAGTACTTATTTCCCTCTTCAGAGCAGGAGAGATTGCTGAAATAGAGGGAATACAGAGAACATATACGGTATGCATAGACGCAATAAAGCACCTAAATTATTAATCATCTCAAAGAGATGATTAATAATTTATAATAAATAATAGAGATCGTCTCAAAGCTCTCCAAATATACTCACTAGAAAGGAGACGAGAGAGATACCAAATAATATACACATGGACAATACTGGAGGGTCAGGTCCCAAATCTACACAGTAAAATAACAACGTACTGGAGTGAACGATATGGAAGGAAATGCAGAATAGAACCAGTGAAGAGCAGAGGTGCCATAGGCACAATCAGAGAACATTGTATAAACATCAGAGGTCCACGGTTGTTCAACATCCTCCCAGCGACTATAAGAAATATTGCCGGAACAACCGTGGACATCTTCAAGAGAAAACAAGACTGTTTTCAAAACGTGCCGGACCAACCGGGCTGTGGTGGGTAATGTGGGCCTGCTGACCACTCCAAGCAACAGCCTGGTGGACCAAGCTCTCACAAGTCAAGCCTAGCCTCAGGCCGGGCTTGGGAGTAGAACTACTCCCAGAACCCCATCAAGCAGGTATCATATATTTTTTATTTTCACTTAATTATCTTAGACAAATAAATCTTTATCCTTCAATTAAATATTTCTGTAAGTTTTCCTTAGAACATGTATATTATTGTTACCTGCATGCACATAACCATAAAGGTAGTCTTACCTTGGCAATGTGTAGGTATTCCGCAGCAATCATGGGATAATCTGACTTAGTAAATCACAGCATGCTTAGATCGGGGATATAATTACGGATTATGTGCTTAAGCGGATGCATTTAAACGTACATTTCTGTCTCATTTCAGTGGACATTGGCATACGCAGCAGGTATGAGCCCTTAGACAACACAGCAAAGAAGTTGTTTATAGTTGACTCTGGGCTGGCCTTCAACTCTCCGTACCCACTCCTTCTGCGACCACAACGAGCTGTTGATATTTACCTTTCATTTGACTTCTCTCAGAGGCCCTCAGACAAAACACAGCCTTTCAAGGAACTACTACTTGCGGAAAAATGGGCAATGCAAAACCAAGTTAATTTTCCTCCAATAGAAAAACAGGTACACAGTTGAAAGTATTGTATAAACGTCTTGACTAACCTTTAAAATTATTCGAGGGGTAGGAATTGCATTTAATATTGAATAATTATTTTGTTTGAAAATAATGGTTTACTTTTGAGTGCTAAATATATTTGAAATATCATTCTGCAGGTTGCTCAATATGAACATGAAGAAGTCCGAGAGTGTTACGTGTTCAAGCATCCAACTGACCAGTTTTGTCCAGTCATTTTGCACTTTCCTCTGGTCAACAAGAAGTTCAAGAAGTTTAAAGCACCAGGTATGTTATAGGAAGTTAATTTAAATATATTTAGGCAAATACTCAGTTAGATATATGTGAGTGGATCCCACACATATCCTTCGGGTGCTGGCGGACAGGTTCAGTAGCCTCGTGGGTTCAGGGAGTGGATCCCAGTGTTCTATTTGCCAAGGAAGTTACATTGTATTGAAATTAGGTACAACTGATTTCCCTTTTGTTTATGATGCACGCCACACCCATCCTGAAAGCTGCGGTGGAAGGCCTACTTTTTTATTAACACATTTAGGTACATCTGCATTTGAGCAGCTACCCTAGACTATATGAAGGGAAGTACAGTGTGTCAAAAAACTAGCTACGAAATGCTAAAAATCCCTATGACACAGGATGGTTAGTCATATAGAGGCATATGATCAGTAGTCGGCACTGGCAAACTCTGGGTGCATTATGAGGATAACATCATGAACACAAGAGTGAATAAGGCAGCAGTGATACTAAAAATCCCAATCTCGCAAGATGGTTAGTCATACAGGGCCATATGTTCAGTAACCTGCACTGGCAAATTTTGGGTGCATTATGAAGATATCCTCAAGAACACGATAGTAAATAAAGTAATTGCAAAGCTCCAGGTACCTCATGCCAATGGGTCTGATAACTGGATATTCGGTATAGTGTGGTAGATCATGCCCCAGTTCCTGCTCACAGAGTTTGCACCTGGAGTGCTCAGGATACTCTCACTCAGATATAATAATAAAAAAAATCCACTTATAGGCAGCCTCATTTCAGAGAGTTGGAGGATATTTTGAGAAAAAATAAGCTTGCTCCCACAAAAAACTTTATAGCGTAAGAAAAAAGAGACGAGAGAGATACCAAATAATACACACATGGAAGATACTGGAGGGCCAGGTCCCAAATCTACACAGTAAAATAACAACGTACTGGAGTGAACGATATGGAAGGAAATGCAGAATAGAACCAGTGAAGAGCAGAGGTGCCATAGGCACAATCAGAGAACATTGTATAAACATCAGAGGTCCGCGGTTGTTCAACATCCTCCCAGCGACTATAAGAAATATTGCCGGAACAACCGTGGACATCTTCAAGAGAAAACAAGACTGTTTTCAAAACGTGCCGGACCAACCGGGCTGTGGTGGGTAATGTGGGCCTGCTGACCACTCCAAGCAACAGCCTGGTGGACCAAGCTCTCACAAGTCAAGCCTAGCCTCAGGCCGGGTTTGGGAGTAGAACTACTCCCAGAACCCCATCAAGCAGGTATCATATATTTTTTTATTTTCACTTAATTATCTTAGACAAATAAATCTTTATCCTTCAATTAAATATTTCTGTAAGTTTTCCTTAGAACATGTATATTATTGTTACCTGCATGCACATAACCATAAAGGTAGTCTTACCTTGGCAATGTGTAGGTATTCCGCAGCAATCATGGGATAATCTGACTTAGTAAATCACAGCATGCTTAGATCGGGGATATAATTACGGATTATGTGCTTAAGCGGATGCATTTAAACGTACATTTCTGTCTCATTTCAGTGGACATTGGCATACGCAGCAGGTATGAGCCCTTAGACAACACAGCAAAGAAGTTGTTTATAGTTGACTCTGGGCTGGCCTTCAACTCTCCGTACCCACTCCTTCTGCGACCACAACGAGCTGTTGATATTTACCTTTCATTTGACTTCTCTCAGAGGCCCTCAGACAAAACACAGCCTTTCAAGGAACTACTACTTGCGGAAAAATGGGCAATGCAAAACCAAGTTAATTTTCCTCCAATAGAAAAACAGGTACACAGTTGAAAGTATTGTATAAACGTCTTGACTAACCTTTAAAATTATTCGAGGGGTAGGAATTGCATTTAATATTGAATAATTATTTTGTTTGAAAATAATGGTTTACTTTTGAGTGCTAAATATATTTGAAATATCATTCTGCAGGTTGCTCAATATGAACATGAAGAAGTCCGAGAGTGTTACGTGTTCAAGCATCCAACTGACCAGTTTTGTCCAGTCATTTTGCACTTTCCTCTGGTCAACAAGAAGTTCAAGAAGTTTAAAGCACCAGGTATGTTATAGGAAGTTAATTTAAATATATTTAGGCAAATACTCAGTTAGATATATGTGAGTGGATCCCACACATATCCTTCGGGTGCTGGCGGACAGGTTCAGTAGCCTCGTGGGTTCAGGGAGTGGATCCCAGTGTTCTATTTGCCAAGGAAGTTACATTGTATTGAAATTAGGTACAACTGATTTCCCTTTTGTTTATGATGCACGCCACACCCATCCTGAAAGCTGCGGTGGAAGGCCTACTTTTTTTATTAACACATTTAGGTACATCTGCATTTGAGCAGCTACCCTAGACTATATGAAGGGAAGTACAGTGTGTGTCAGAAAACTAGCTACGAAATGCTAAAAATCCCTATGACACAGGATGGTTAGTCATATAGAGGCATATGATCAGTAGTCGGCACTGGCAAACTCTGGGTGCATTATGAGGATAACATCATGAACACAAGAGTGAATAAGGCAGAAGTGATACTAAAAATCCCAATCTCGCAAGATGGTTAGTCATACAGGGCCATATGTTCAGTAAACTGCACTGGCAAATTTTGGGTGCATTATGAAGATATCCTCAAAAACACGATAGTAACTAAAGTAATTGCAAAGCTCCAGGTACCTCATGCCAAGGGGTCTGATAACTGGATATTCGGTATAGTGTGGTAGATCATGCCCCAGTTCCTGCTCACAGAGTTTGCACCTGGAGTGCTCAGGATACTCTCACTCAGATATAATAATAAAAAAATCCACTTGTAGGCAGCCTCATTTCAGAGAGTTGGAGGATATTTTGAGAAAAAATAAGCTTGCTCCCACAAAAAAAAACTTTATAGCGTAAGAAAAAAGGCTTGCTCAGGAGGGGGGAGTGTTCTTGCCCTTTGTTATATTCAATCACTACCTGCAAAATAGAACATAAAAGCAGAGAAATTACTGTTCTTCTCGCAGAGGGATATTCTGCCCACCGTACACTACTATTTGCAGTACTGTATATACCTCATACCAAGAGTCCCGGTAGTGCATTCTCAACTCACTATCGAGAATTCTGAGTTCGGATCCCGGCCGGGACAGAAATGGTTGGGATTATTTCCGTTCACCTAATGCACCTGTCCACCTAGCAGTAAATAGGTTAGTCAGTTTGTTGTGAGGTTGCATTTTGGGGAGGGCCAGTAATTCAACCCTTGGGGGGGGGGGACCACGGTACAAGCCTAACATGTACTGAAGGAATAACTGGCTGCCTGTCCCCAGACACAATTATATACAGTTGAGTTTAATGTAGTTCTGGAAAATTTAAAAAATTTGCTGGTTGGACAGTACCTTCAGGTTGGCCTGACTTACCTGTAGCGGGGGCCACAGACCCGGTCTTCCAGGACACTCCGACTCAGGGGCCTGGTCGCCCACCTCATGAGCCTGGGTTATCTTGAGGTTATCTTGAGATGATTTCGGGGCTTTAGTGTCCCCGCGGCCCGGTCCTCGACCAGGCCTCCACCCCCAGGAAGCAGCCCGTGACAGCTGACTAACACCCAGGTACCTAATTTACTGCTAGGTAACAGGGGCATAGGATGAAAGAAACTCTGCCCATTGTTTCGCCGGCGCCTGGGATCGAACCCAGGACCACAGGATCACAAGTCCCGCGTGCTGTCCGCTCGGCCGACCGGCTCCCTAGATGGGTAAGAGAAGTCGTGTCGTCATCCATGCATCAATCAATTTAAAGGTTTGGGACCTAGAACCAAGGAATACCACCTACCAGGGCAGCCAGGGAGGCCGAGCACGGGCCAGTGCAGGAAGGGTGCGTCGTCTCCAGCGGTGCTCCCCCTTTTCAACAAGGGAGTCCTACTACATCGTCCATTCTCCCACACTGGTGCTAAGACCCCAGTCCCCCTATCGCCCCAGCCTGGACACCCAACCATCCACTCAGAGCGGCCCCTCAAAGGCGACCCCTCCAGCGATGGCTCACAAGGTCCAGCGGTGGTCCGATGGCTCACAAGGTCCCTACATGGTGCCCTTCAGCACATACACCACCCAAATAGGAGGCAAAGGCAACCCACACCCCATACCATAGTAGATCTAAAATTCGGCTTGCCTTTTATAGCAGATCCTAAAATCACAAAAGATAGGAAACATACTGTAGTGTAAAACTACGTCATAACCTTTCAAGATTATATATATATATATATATATATATATATATATATATATATATATATATATATATATATATATATATATATATATATATATATATATATAACTGAAAACTCACACCCCAGAAGTGACTCGAACCCATACTCCCAGAAACAACGCAACTGGTATGTACAAGACGCCTTAATCCACTTGACCATCACGACCGGACAAAATGAGGTGATAGCCGAGGCTATTTGAACCACCCCACCGCCGGCACTCGGATAGTTATCTTGGGCATAGCATTTTACCAAATCACCTCATTCTTTGGGGCAACACGTGATGAACACAAATGCGAAAAAGCCTGAATGGTCCCCAGGACATATGCAACTGAAAACTCACACCCAGAAGTGACTCGAACCCATACTCCCAGAAACAACGCAACTGGTATGTACAAGACGCCTTAATCCACTTGACCATCACGACCGGACAAAATGAGGTGATAGCCGAGGCTATTTGAACCACCCCACCGCCGGCACTCGGATAGTTATCTTGGGCATAGCATTTTACCAAATCACCTCATTCTTTGGGGCAACACGTGAGGAACACAAATGCGAACAAGCCTGAATGGTCCCCAGGACATATGCAACTGAAAACTCACACCCCAGAAGTGACTCGAACCCATACTCCCAGAAACAACGCAACTGGTATGTACAAGACGCCTTAATCCACTTGACCATCACGACCGGACAAAATGAGGTGATAGCCGAGGCTATTTGAACCACCCCACCGCCGGCACTCGGATAGTTATCTTGGGCATAGCATTTTACCAAATCACCTCATTCTTTGGGGCAACACGTGAGGAACACAAATGCGAACAAGCCTGAATGGTCCCCAGGACATATGCAACTGAAAACTCACACCCCAGAAGTGACTCGAACCCATACTCCCAGAAACAATTAAGGCGTCTTGTACATACCAGTTGCGTTGTTTCTGGGAGTATGGGTTCGAGTCACTTCTGGGGTGTGAGTTTTCAGTTGCATATGTCCTGGGGACCATTCAGGCTTGTTCGCATTTGTGTTCCTCACGTGTTGCCCCAAAGAATGAGGTGATTTGGTAAAATGCTATGCCCAAGATAACTATCCGAGTGCCGGCGGTGGGGTGGTTCAAATAGCCTCGGCTATCACCTCATTTTGTCCGGTCGTGATGGTCAAGTGGATTAAGGCGTCTTGTACATACCAGTTGCGTTGTTTCTGGGAGTATGGGTTCGAGTCACTTCTGGGGTGTGAGTTTTCAGTTGCATATGTCCTGGGGACCATTCAGGCTTGTTCGCATTTGTGTTCCTCACGTGTTGCCCCAAAGAATGAGGTGATTTGGTAAAATGCTATGCCCAAGATAACTATCCGAGTGCCGGCGGTGGGGTGGTTCAAATAGCCTCGGCTATCACCTCATTTTGTCCGGTCGTGATGGTCAAGTGGATTAAGGCGTCTTGTACATACCAGTTGCGTTGTTTCTGGGAGTATGGGTTCGAGTCACTTCTGGGGTGTGAGTTTTCAGTTGCATATGTCCTGGGGACCATTCAGGCTTGTTCGCATTTGTGTTCCTCACGTGTTGCCCCAAAGAATGAGGTGATTTGGTAAAATGCTATGCCCAAGATAACTATCCGAGTGCCGGCGGTGGGGTGGTTCAAATAGCCTCGGCTATCACCTCATTTTGTCCGGTCGTGATGGTCAAGTGGATTAAGGCGTCTTGTACATACCAGTTGCGTTGTTTCTGGGAGTATGGGTTCGAGTCACTTCTGGGGTGTGAGTTTTCAGTTGCATATGTCCTGGGGACCATTCAGGCTTGTTCGCATATATATATATATATATATATATATATATATGTAGGGGGTGGTAGGAGAAAAGCACACAGAAACTGTATTGGAGGGGACCTACATTCCCTCTAATGCGTTATGTGTGGTTTCCTCCGAGGCTATGGGTGGTGATACGTCATCACCTTGAAAGGTGATGACGTAGTTTTAAACTACAGTATGTTTCCTATCTTTTGTGATTTTAGGATCTGCTATAAAAGGCAAGCCGAATTTTAGATCTATTATGGTATGTCATAGTTAATTTACATCAAGCTAATGCAGCCTTAGTTTGGATCTGACGCGCACTTTTCTGTTAATTCAAGATTAATTAGCTAACAAATTACTATTATTTTCAGGAGTTCCGCGAAAAACGGAAGATGAAATACGTTTTGCTGACTTCCCCATTTTCGATGATCCTCTAAATCCATTTTCTTCTATGAACTTCGTATATGAACAACAGCAGTTTAACCGCCTGGCCAAGCTGGTAGAGTTTAACACACTCCTCTGCATTGATACTATAAAGAAGGTGATTGAAGAATCTGTCACAAGGAATAAGAATGGCAATCAGAACAGGCAAAATTTAACTTTCAGTGATGTAGCGAAGATGATGAAACATGTGACTTACCTAAGTAATAACACGAATAATGATGGTCTCAAATTGAACATTTCGAAAGAAAATGAGCATCTGTTAAAGAAGCACGCGCGGAGCTCTGAACAACCAGCACTAAGGAAGACTCGGCCACCACCACCACCACCACCACCACCACCATCACCACCTCCTACCACCAACGGGAGACAACGAGCTAAGGCAGACAAGCAGTCTTACTGGTCATGTGCTCACGCCCAAACATAACTTAAGTAGAAGAATACCCACTGATGTAATCTATCCCCATCTTGTCAACTGAGGCAGGAAGGTTTGAGGTACATAATGGGCTTAGGAAATCAATCTCAATATTTGCTTAGTTATGCTCTTGACAGCATTGATGAGCTAGTACAACTGTGTCACGTATCCATTAATAGTTTTAGGTAATAAGTTTATGTACAACATAATAATCTTAAAGGTAGGCTACAGAAAGGTTAGTCCTGTAACAGTTTATGTAATGGACCTCAATGGTCTTTAAACTTAGCAGTTAATTTGCCCATCATGGCGCCCACACCCACCATGCCGCCCACACCCACCAATGGTGGGTATAGGCGGCATGATCTTAACTCTCATTTGATGTTAACTTGTTAACTCTGACAAGTCAAGCCTGGCCTCGGGCCGGCCTTGGGGAGTAGAAGAACTCCCAGAACCCCATCAACCAGGTCAAAGAGTGCTCCGTCTCCCAGATTATTTACACTGATGGCTCCTTGCACCAGTCCTATGGTGCAGCTGGAAGTGCAGTTGATGGCTCTTATTCCTGTGAGTGTGGAGTGCGTACAAATAACTGGGCCTCCATTCTTCAGACTGGATTGTTTGCCATAATCATTGCATTCGAACAAGTATATAAATATAAAGTCGACGTGCTTACTTAATCGTTAGTGACTTTGTCATCCTTGACTGGTTTCAGCTCCGCAAGGTATAACTGTCCATACTTGTATCTGAAGCTAGTCACAGTTATACAATAATTAGGGATAGATTCAGACTTTGTCTCCTGTGGATTCATTGCCATATTGGTCTCCAAATGCATGATAGAACTGATGAGTTAGCAAAAACATTTGCTTGTAAACAATAAATTTCTTGCCATCTTCGATTGCCTTCGAGCAGCCTGTGGACAGCTATTCAGGGAACAGCAATAAAATCTAGTAGATTTGAGGCAAACCTAGGAATGATCCGTCAGCGATGATCCATTTGGATTGCTCTAAGGCTTTCGATAGGGTTGATGTTGAAGTTGTGTTCCAGGTTTTGCGTCAGGTCGTTGTGGCTGAGATCTTTATATATCTTGGGCGCAAATGGTTTATTCTGAGAGACAAAGCTGTTTACGGTAAATGGGTTACTGAGTGCGCCCTTTGCGACTGAGGTCTGTTCGACAAGGGTGCCCCCTATCCATGACTTTGTATGTTATGTTTCATGAACCTCTGTGTGCAGCAGTTGAAATGAATGTTTTTATTATCCCGCTGATTCTTGGTTATGCAGTCGACACTACGGTGTCTGTGTCGGGTGAGGCTTCTGTGGTGAACATGATAAAGTTGACGCCCTTGATGAGGTTGCAGTAAATAAAGACAGTATTGAAACGTAATCTTGAGTTATCAAATAGGTCCTTTAATAGTGTTATTAGACGAGAACTCTTGGAGGAATTTGAAGAAAGTAGTACAGTGCAAACTGGAACTAGCAGGTCCATTGTTCATCACAATTAAATGAGTGAAGTAAAACATGTGTATGGGGGCAAGTAACAAAGTCAGTAGACTAACAGATGTTGTCACAGCTCGTATAAGACTTGGCTACAAGTATCTCTGGCAGTTCGGCTTGTATAGGGATCTAGATGAAGTAAAGTGTAAAGTGTGTGGACAAAGACAGGGACACACACTCGAACACTGTATCTTGGATTGTTGTAAAATTGAGCCATTTAGAGATAAATCTAAACTCACGTTGCGTGATATGGCAATCTATCTTATTACTAAGGATAAAATACCTGAAATCCTTGCACTGTATCCATATTTCGCTTCCAGTAGATCAACGACATTAGATTAAGAAACAAGTAGTGTATTGTGAAGACAAATAATAATAACAAACAGCAGCTCTATGACTCTGTAATATCTCGATTGGTCAAACAATTATGTATTAACGATAAGACCTACCATTAATGTATAATGACTTACTGTAAATATATAGCTCTTGTAATAGTACATTCTCTGTAACTAGCTGACATTGTAATTATGTGAGAAGGATAGATGAAAGTGTTAATGTAATAATCTCCATTGAGGTCTGATAAAGACCTTTTGTGCCCTCTGTAATCATTTCTTGCGCTACCGCTCACAGGATGAGTATGGGGTGCACAATAAACTAGCCGCCTCCGGCAACAATCAAATCAAAATGTTGTCCGTCCACGTTGTGTTGGAAATGTTTGGACGGGCGGCGGGTGTCGTGATAAATAAAGATATGACTTGTGTGTCGGGACCTGGTCGCTGGGCTTCTCCCTCCCACTGCGGTGGTTCTTGGATTGAGGGTTGTTGGTTTTCTTAAATAAGATAAGGTATTTATTCAGGTAAAGGTAGATTGAAAATGAGCTACAAACATAATGTCGGATTAATAGATAGAGCTAGAACACACAATGCCTGAAGCCACTAATACGCACAGCGTTTCGGCCAAGGTGTGGGGAAAAACTTAATACTAATTTAGATCAAAAGCATAAATTGAATTTAAAAATGAGGAAGAAAAGTAAAAGAGAATGATAATAATTTCATGATGGATAGAACAGCAGAAAATGCAGCAGAACAGCAGAAGGAATTTTAACTATATAAACAAAAGATTACCATTTTCTTCAAGATTATACATGCCAGATATCAGCAGTTAAACAAGTTGGTCAATAATCAATAATATTTGGAAATAGCAAGTCATAGGTTGACATTTTGGAGGTAAGGTAAGTTCTTAAGTACCTCGAGAGTACTTGGTGTCAGTCGGGTAAGTTGACGTTGTGAAGGAATGATGATGATTATTATTATTATTATTATGATTATTATTATTATTATTATTATTACATTATTATTATTTCAAGAAATAATTTAAGATTTAAGGGGACTAGTAAATTTATCAAAATAAACCTAAAAGCTCTTGTTATTAATTTTTATAAACTATAAAAACGAAGGTCTGTATAACTGTGTATATTTCTCTAGTAATATAAATATATGTATATATATATATATATATATATATATATATATATATATATATATATATATATATATATATATATATATATATATATCAAGACATATTATTTATGAGGGGTAATGGTTATGATCGTATTATCAATGTTTAGTGTGCACCATTTCTATGAGTTTTCATTGCATGTCCAGTAATTTGTGAGACCAAGGTCATGGTGGTCAGTTGTCGCCCTGGTGTCTGAAATTGCGGTGTTGTGTGGTGAGTCAGTAATTGGGATTACTGACTGATTGCACAGTGATGTCAGTAGCATATGGGGTATGCTGATGACATCAGTATGTTGTGTGTTTGGGCAGTGTTGTTGTTTAGTATACGTCATATTACTGCCCTAGGAGCTGTGTTGATGATTTATGGAGGGCCATTTAATTAATCAGGGAATTCACAGTGCTTATTGAGGGAGCAAGCAATTGATTGGTTAATCTGACTAATTAGGAGAATTAGTGCCAGCTGTCGGTGTAGCGATGGTGTCTTGAGTTAACATAAATTGCAGTGCTGAAGTAGTGATTGCACACAGTAGTTCTTTGCAGGTTGTTGCAAGATAAGGGGGCAGTAATGTAGGGTATACATTTGTAGTGTGGCCAAACTGTGTGTCATTATTGTGGGGGCACAGTAATTAACGTGATGCAGAGGCTGCAACCATTTGGGGCCGTGACCTTTATGTTGTTATGTCACTGTGAGTGTGACCCATGTAACCTGAGGTTACTTTGTGTTTCTCTAAGTTGTCTTGACGACTTAAGCATTCAGTGAGAGTTAATTAAAGGGGTGATTAACTTTATATGGGGTTGCGCATTACTTAATGAGGGAGCTGTTAAGGGAAACAGTGCTGAGCTTCTTGAAATACGTTTCAGGAGCAATTAGTTGTCCATGTGACAACTAATTGCCCACTCTAGCTAATTGTGTAATTAGTATTCTCATCATGAATTCACATAGTGGGGAGGAACTGTCAAAGGTTGACAGTATTTGTGTTAACGTAATTTGCTTGTGATTAATTACCTGTCTGTGGTATGGCAATTAGTGGCTCATGTTAATTAGTGGAGTAATTAACGTCAAGGGGATTGACTGACTCGTAGGGCGACATCATTGGGCTAGCATAAATCGTTGGATTAATTATATCTTGTCAGGGTGACAGGTGATTAAGATGCACTCATGTTAATTAGGGTAATTAACACCTCGTCCGTGGATTCACAGTGTTTGATGAGACCTGCTTAGACAGTGTGGAGTGAGACGTATTTATGTATAATTAATTATCGGTCCAGGTGACAGTTAATTAATTGCTCGGGGTTAATTAGGGTAATTAACGCTCATTAAAGTTTGACATTGACTGTTGAGAAGCTACCAAGATAGTGGTAGGCTTAGTTAACGTAACTCGACTGGGATTTAATTAGTTGTCCGTTTGACAATAATTAAGAATTATTCACTGAATGCTTGAAGGGCTCAAGAGTGATGTAATTTAAGAGACCAAGTTATTGTTAACAGTTTGACTTGTTTGTTGGAGACAAGAGTTGGTGATTAACGTGGAGTACTATTGTGTTTTGTTGTCTGAGGAAGACAAGTGTTGGTGATTAACGTGGAGTACTATTGTGTTTTGTTGTCTGAGGAAGACAAGTGTTGGTGATTAACGTGGAGTACTATTGTGTTTTGTTGTCTGAGGAAGACAAGTGTTGGTGATTAACGTGGAGTACTATTGTGTTTTGTTGTCTGAGGAAGACAAGTGTTGGTGATTAACGTAGCAGTACTTTGTTGCTGACTGCTGTTGACAGTCATTTAACGTAATTAATCACATAATCAATTTTTTAATTAATTAAGGAAATTTATTTGAGTATCGTCTCTGGAGACGAGAGTAAAGTAACTTGGGGATTACTGGAGAAGTGTCTCAGAATCCCACTTGCATAGCTTTGTTTACATTTGCAACTTCTTGCAGGAAGTTGCAAAGAGTGTTCACATTAGATTGTGATGGGGGCGGTGATCAGTGCTGGACTACCAGCTTAGTTACTTGGGTACCTCACCGGGAGGGCAGCGAGGGCCAGTAAAGATTGTAATTATAGTATTGCTCACCGGGAGGGCCGTGAGATATATTGATATATTGATTGCTTGTGTCACCAGTGGGCACCATTGTTCAGTTAGTTCATTTAGTCAGCCCGAAGTGTCAGCAAGATGGAGACTGTTGTTATTCCTCGATGGGCTGTTGAATAGCTGTCTTGCAAGTGCCACTGGATGGACATTAACGTAACAAATCTCTCACTGTTGTGTAAACTTAGTCTTGTGATTATTTGTTTGCAATATTGCGTCGTCAGTGGCCACACCTGTGTTCAGGTCAGTTCAGTATTCAGCCACACAACAATTGACCAGAGTCATTGCTATTTCATGGTTGTTAAGTAGCTGTTGTTAAAGTGCCACTGGATGGACATTAACGTAACGTAAACTTGATGTTGTAGTAGTTTAGTCTCTTTGTTAATAAATTGTTATTGTTTAGAAAATGGTCTTTGATGTCAACCCTTCAACCATTCTTGTCCCGCCCATGTTCTGCTTTATACGATTGTCTAGTAATGTGATCATTTTAATGACGGCTGTTCTTGGGAAATTCGAAATCTCAATTCATAGCGCCACACATCAAATTCAAATTTGTTGTGAGAACCCGTCGGTTGCCCTTTATTAGTTATTTTTAAGACTAGGAGGAGCCAGCGGCTCCAAGTAGACAGGTTTTCACCCTTGTGGTGGAAGCCTGGCGGTTTGCTACCACTTTTCCTATGGGCTCAGGCTTAAAGTAGTAAATCTGCAAGTAATGCAGTTCTTTATGTTTGAGGTCCATCTCCTAAGGGAGGTAAGCGTACGAAAAAAAAATTCACACTTGATTGGGCAACATAAGAACTACCTTTATAAACTTGTAAGGAATCATTCAGGACCTTGTATACCACTTATGTCAGACCAATCCTGGAGTATGCAGCTCCAGCTTGGAGTCCATACCTAGTTAAACACAGGACAAAGTTAGAGAAGTTTCAGAGGTATGCCACCAGACTAGTCCCAGAACTGAGAAGTAAATATTATTAAATTTATATTATTAAAAATGTGTAAATAAGGAAATGACTCGTGGGAACAATTATAATTTGTTTGTATTAATAAGCTTAGGAATACTCAGCAATATGTTGCTGCCTTATTCTCCATTGTAGTGCTCTCCCATCCATAAAAGTTCTTAACTAATTAATAAAGCCTCCATGTACCTATGTAAGCATCTACCTCAGTATCTTAGTAAAATCTTACTTATACGTATTATCTTACCCCTGTTATCTTGAAATATAATTGTAACTTGATTTTTACTTATATGTATAATTTTACCCCTGTTATCTTGAAATATAATTGTAACTTGATTTATATTAGTCATTTATTGGAATTAATTAAATGAGTTCACTTTTGTTTTCTTA